TCCCACTAACTACATTTCATGGAAACTCCAAGTCCAATCTATCCTTACTGGATACAATCTGGATGGCTTTCTTGATGGATCTCATCCATGTCCATCATCCACTCTCACCAGTGATGGCATCACAAGTCCCAATCCTGCTTTTGCTTCCTGGATTCGCCAAGACAAACTCCTCTTCGGAGCACTCATCGGCACTCTTACACCGGCCGTTATTCCGCTTATCACTCGGGCCACGACCACGCAATCTGCTTGGGATATTCTTGCCTCCGTATATGCTCAACCATCCCGTGGCCACATTAAACAATTAAAATCTCAGATCCAGAAGTATAAAAAAGGCTCCAAAAGTGTTAGTGAATACATGCATTTTATTAAAAATGCTGCTGATGAACTTGCTCTTTTAGGCAAACCCATGGATCATGAAGACTTTATTGAGACTATTCTTGATGGCCCTGATGATGGATATAAATCCGTCATTGATGCCGTCGATGGGCGTGAAACGTGTATCACCTTTACTGAGTTACATGAAAAGCTCATTAATCGTGAACTCAAGCTTCTTCAAGAATCTGAGCCGTCACCCATGCCAATTACTGCCAATATTGCCCGTGGATCTCCTTCACCCTCCGGATCGCGTGGGCGTGGCGGTCGTCACTCTTCTGGTCGAGGGCTGTCTTCTGGCCGTGGTCCTACTTCCAGCTCTCCCTCTCGGCCATATTTGGGTACATGTCAAGCTTGCCGCACTCAAGGGCATACCGCCCGCAATTGTCCACTTTTCAGATTGACAACAACATCTCCCAATGGCGGACCAGTGCCTCCTTCCTGGCCTGCTCGTGATTCATGGCAGCCTCAAACTCGCCCTCCCTGGCAGTCTCCTCAGGCCCATAGTGTGACTGGCAATGGACTTCTTGGACCGGCACCTACTTCCCCTTGGATCTTTGATAGTGGAGCCACCCACCACCTTACATCTGATCTGGACAACTTATCCATGCATGCACCGTACTCGGGCACTGACGAGGTTGTCGTTGGAAATGGTAGTAGTCTTCCTATTACTTTTACGGGTTCTGGTATTTTACAGTCTCCCACTCGTTCTTTTCATCTCAATAATCTTCTATGTGTTCCCAATATTCATAAAAATCTCATCTCTGTCTCACAGTTCTGTCAACATAATAATGTTTCTATTGAATTCTCACCCTCTATTTTTTGTGTCAAGGATCTCAACACGGGAACACCCCTCCTCCAAGGTCAAGCTAAAGATGGTCTGTATGAATGGCCCACCTCCAACCGTCCCGTTCATGCTTTCTCTGGTGTCAAAATTACTCCTAGTCAGTGGCACGCCCGTCTTGGTCATCCCTCCTCCGTTATTCTTCGTCATATTATACCAAAATTATCATCCCAAATAAATCATGTAACCTCTTTAGATTTTTCGTGTGATTCTTGTCAATGTAATAAAAGCCACAAGCTTCCATTTCATATGCCCTCAATAAAATCATCCCGTCCCTTAGAAGTAATATTTTCTGATGTTTGGATATCTCCAGTAGTTTCATTTGATGGTTTTAAATATTATGTAATATTTATTGACCATTTCACTAAATATATCTGGTTATATCCTATGAAAAACAAGTCCGATGTCTACTCTATTTTCCTCACATTCTGTCCACTTGTTGAAAATAAATTTGGTTATAAAATTCAAACTTTCTTTTCTGACAATGGTGGAGAATTTAAAGCCTTAACTCCTCATCTAGCAAAAAATGGTATCTCTCACCTTACCTCCCCGCCACACACCCCTGAACACAATGGCTATGCTGAACGCCGTCATCGGCATATTATTGAAACTGGTCTTACCCTCCTTCACCAAGCTTCCCTACCCCCCGAGTATTGGTCCTCAACCGAAGCGGAGTATCGTGCTATTGCTACTACGGCGGCTGAACTTAGATGGCTTCTTTCTCTTCTCACAGAACTTCATATTTTTATACCTACTCAACCAGTTATCTACTGTGACAATGTCACTAATATGGGACTAGTAAGTGTGGTTACATAAAAAAGATAATGAATGACACACGAGATTGAATAGTTCTACACTTCTATTCATATCCACTAAATTATTAATTGTACAACTTAATTACTAGTAAATTTTAATAAATAAAACTATTTGAAAGTCTAATTTACCCTTTATACTTAGAACCATATCAAAGACATTGAATATAGCTTAGATTATAGATCTTATCTTTTGTTCTTATAAACAAACCCTAGAACATGGAATAATGACATAAATACTACTACTACAATTGAGTGTTTCGTGTACCACCATGAATTGAAGGGTATACAAATACACCATGACTAAGGTATTCATAGACTTGACAATGATATCAAGACTAGATTAAGACTAAAATCCTTCCCATATTGTCTTGTACATTGATACAATATTTAAAATTACATTATTTTAGAATGTTTATAATTGGACTGATTTTTTAAACATGGTCTAGTATGTAAAGTATGTTATGCTTCAGCCATATCTTAATGACTTATGGTGCTACACCAGTTCTATAAGGAGAGAAAACGTGTTGCACTATCTGTGATTGCTTTTTTAGTGTAGCGATAAACGTTTTGATCCTACGAGTGGTATCAAACTATCAAAGCCTAGTTCACATGTTCTTATGTTATCGAAGCCTGCGAATAAAAAAGGGCAAGTCATGTTGTTCAACCTCGTGTTTGGAGTGGCAGATGATGAGGGAATTGTTAGGTTTTGGCCATCATATTCCTAAATCAACTTGTGGTGCTACGTTCTATAAGGGGTAATGACGTGCTACACTATCAGCAAATCAGCAATTGCTTTTAGTGTAGCAGGCATTTCAATCCTACAGTAAACATGTGATTTATATGTATTTTTTATTGTCCAAAACTGACATGATCAAATACAGTGGCGGATCCAGGATTTCACGTGGACTGAAAAACTTAATTTATTAATTCATAACATATGAATCAGATCTTTTGCTCTTAGCCAACTCCTTATATATAATTCAACAAGTGTAGATACTTGAAATTTTGTATCATGAATCACATCATGAACATAGTGTTGCAGCTAGAATTCCAAAGCACGAATGTCTTGACCACTAAAATCTTTGGGATTTTTTTTTGCAAGAGTACAAATAGCACCGTCAACAATACATTGAAAATTTTCAAAATAAGCAAAAAATCAAATATAAGAGTTCTCCACTAATTTTGTTCTCAACGAGGCTTTGAAACAAAAAACTCGTCAACAATAGAGTCTACATCTATACTAAGAGTAATGCCTTTCTGGATACTAAGAGTAAGGTCAAGCAATCAACAAGAAAGTCATCATCCATTTTATTGTGGAGTGTTGTCTTTAGAAGTTTCACGGCAAAAAATGACCTTTCTACTATTGCAGTAGAAACAATCATAACATATGAACCAGATCTTTTGCTCTTAGTCAACTCCTCACATATAATTCAGCAAGTGTAGATACTTGAAATTTTGTATCATGAATCACATCATGAACATAGTGTTGCAGCTAGAATTCCAAAGCACGAATGTCTTGACTACTAAAATTAAATCTTTGGGATATTTTTTTTTGCAAGAGTACAAATAGCATCGTCATTGAACGAGTCATATGAATTTTTGGGACCCAATGAAGCACTCAAAGAAAGGAGTTCCACGGATTTATCATTAAACTGAGTCCTTAACTCCATCAATACAAAGTCCCCCCTCATTGAAAACATCAAAGTGCGAATGATGCTCAACTGTAGTTTCTTTTCGGCAACGACCAACCATATATGTAGAATTCAACTCCGGTATATGAATTTCATTTTTTGAGCAAAACTCCTTAACTTCTTCAAGAAAGCATTCTCATCAATTTTATGTCAATTCCCCAAGAATGAGTTGTGTAGTAGAAATATGTCTCATGACTATCAAGATATCCAATGATTTTTTTTAAAGGCCTTGACGGAGAGTACTCGTTATTACCATAACTTTGTACATCAAATCAAAAGTAATTGAACACAATTTCAAAACATGGAAAATGTGTATATACACTACGAACTTCTGCCCGAGAGCTCACTTTTGGGCAATGTTCATGAAGATACTCAAACACTTTACAAGTTGATGTAAACATGCCAATCAAGCTCTTAACTGATTCATATTTTATTGTATTTATTACATTTATGTCGTATGAGCTTTATGGCCCTTATACGTATATAAGTGCCACTTATTAAGTGGGAGGTGATGTGTATAACATTTAGATTAGATTTTTAGATGGTAAGATTTTGTATTATGGACTAGGCTGAAAAATTGGATTGAGCCGTAGAAAAATTTGGGGTGGGCTTGACGGATTTTTGTGAAAATAATACTTTTAATTTTTTTTTTTTTACTTTGCCCTAGGCTTCAGCCCAATATAGCCACAACTTAGATTTAAAATGTAAGCCCCCCTCATTGCCATGACCAAGAAATGTGTTTTTGGATTGACATGACCAAGAAAAATAGAATTCGTGGGAATTGTTTATCTCACACTACCTCCGTCATTTTTTATTTAGTCATCTTTGACTTTTTCAACCAAAGATGATAAACCTAGATCCATTATTTTAATTAATATATTTATGTGAAATCTAAAAAATTTATACTTTTAGGATAATATTATTAATAAAGAACAATTTTACATCATTTTTATATTATCAATATTATTGTATATATATATATAATCGACCAAAGTATAACATATTGACTTGAAAAATAGTGCTTGACTAGATAAAAAAGGATGTAAGCTATGTAGCACGGAAACTCTCTGGAAAGAGTATGTTTCCCGTTTCAAAAACATATTGAGTGGAAAGATATTTAACTCAAGGGTTAAAAACAGATTTCAGCTTACCAATTTAATTAACTGAACAATGAGATATTGAGATCGGTAACATTACAAGAAAAATATAAAAAGCCCTAATTTATGGTTTTATTTAATTTAGTTCCTTGGCTACCATTTTTGGTGAATGCCAAAAGATTAGTTCCAAGTTCCATTGTGGATCACAGCAGGTGATGTTTTTTACAAAAGAAAAACACCCAAATTCACTGTACTTCCACCACGTTGCCCCGCAAATCCCAACTGTCCGAAATTCCTTCGCCCATCAGACTTCCATTCAAAAAGAAATAATAAAAAATTCGCCTTTCGGCATAATCAAGAAAGTGAAGAAATTAAAGAGGGAAGTCACTTCCTTGTTCGAGACTTTGAGGAATGTTCAACCAACAATCTTCAGATCTACTCCAACTGTAAGTGCAGAGATTCTAGCGAGGGGTGGGTTGAGTTAGGATGGATGAGAAGCTGATACAGCGGTTGGAGTCGGCGGTGGCTCGGCTGGAAACGCTGTCGTCCGGTGGGTTTGGCCCGGGAGCTTCCCGCGACGTTGACGTTTCCGCGGCGGCATCGGATCCATCGATCATTGCTTTCGAGGATCTGATTTCGCAGTGCGTTGGGAGGCTTGAAAGTGCCGCTGAGAAAATTGGAGGAAAAGTTTTGGATGTCACCAAGGTTGTCAAGGATGCATTCTCTGCCCAGAAGGAGCTTCTCATCAGAATAAAACAAACCCAGGTTTTGATTTCGTTTGGAACTATCTCGAATTATAGAGCAGTTATAGTGTTAGGTTCATTCATTTTGCATTTGTTTGGAAATGCGGACTCCAGAAGATCATTGCAAAGATCTTTTGATTGTGTTTGACTTCATCTCTAAACCTGCTTAAATACAGTGGGAAATGCACGACTAAATGCTTACCTACACTGCTATACGTCAAGTTTTTCTCTGAAATGTTATGAAATGCAGAATGCTAATGGTTTTTAGCTTAATGAAGCACCAAACTTTGATCACTTACACAAATTGCGATCCAACAATTCTTCTTTTTTGGGTACAAGGGAAACATGAAAGATCCTGAGAATTTGAATTTATACAATAGCTAATACAGGGAATAATCCTTGACTAGTATCGGCATACTGCCAACCATATCAAGGATCAGGAATCTCCATGGGAGGATTATCCAGACAGCAACACCAAAATCTGCATTTCGACCCTAATGGGCTAAATAAACCATCACCAACCTGATTTGTCTCCCTAAAAGTGTGAATTAAATGCTAAGACCAGAATGAGGGCATTAGAGAATGAAAAGCCTACGTTAGTGAGTACCAAGGGTTTCCCCATAGAACTTTCTAAACAATGATGTGGTAAAGACCAAAATTTGGACTCGTCAATGCCATAGAAAATGCCACAAAGTTCTTCTAACAATATCAAACCAGTGGCCATATTAGCCTTGACTAGTAACCTCACCTTTAAGACAGTTAGATTACTTTATATTTAACTGGAACTATTCAACGAGATGAGCCTAGAGAAAGAGTTCGCCTGATAAGGAGGAAGAAGACTGTCAGGCTATGATGTAAACCATTACTGTTTTGTCTAATTTAAGAAGATATTGTTTGTAATTTGTAATAAAAATAAAAGATGTTGATACTATCTGAATCATGCCATCACAACTTCTGATTGTCAAGTTAGTCTTGTGTTTCTTCAAATCTAAGCAAATTATTAGTTGTACTGACCATACCTGGAACTGTGTCATTGTACCAGTTCAGATTCTTTAATTTGTAAGAATGATATGTTGTTTCTACTTTGCTATGGCTGATAGCTCTCACCCTTTGCCACCTCACGTAGTCTTTTATTTTGTAGAAACCTGACATGAAGGGTCTTGGTGAGTTCATGAAACCTTTGAATGAAGTAATTGTGAAGGCAACGTCAATGACAGAAGGACGGAGATCTGATTTCTTCAACCACTTGAAGGCTGCTTCTGATAGTTTATCGGCACTAGCATGGATTGCCTACACAGGAAAAGATTGTGGTAGGATGAGCGTTAATCTCTCTGCATATCATTCTTGCAATGCTTGGTTACTGAACTTACTGTCTCTAAATAGGCATGAGCATGCCCACAGCCCATGTAGAAGAAAGCTGGCAGATGGCTGAGTTTTACAATAATAAGGTATTTTTTTCTTCATCACTGAATGTTGAAACTGCTTCAATATTAATTCTGGGACTTCTTTATTGTATGATATGATAGATTCTTGTGGAGTATAGAAACAAAGACCCAAATCATGCTGAGTGGGCAAAAGCTTTGAAGGAGCTTTACTTGCCTGGATTAAGAGAATATGTTAAAAGTCACTATCCCTTGGGCCCTGTTTGGTGCGCAAGTGGGAAGACTTTTGTATCTCCTCCAACAAAAGCTCCTGCACCTCCTGCTCCTCCCTCAGCCTCACTTTTCAACTCAGAATCTTCTAAGCCTTCATCACATCCAAAGCAAGGAATGGCTGCCGTTTTTGAAGAAATAAGTTCAGGGAAGCAAGTAACATCAGGTTATTTTCCTTCTCCACCCTCACCCCATAAATATTTCTGTTAGTCATTATTAATGAGATTTGTTTGCCTAGGTTTGAGAAAGGTCACAGATGATATGAAAACAAAGAACAGAGCAGAGAGAACTGGCGTTGTTGGAGGAGCTGGTGAAAAGGAACGTCGTGTTAACTCACCCTCATTTTCTAAAACAGGACCTCCAAAACTAGAACTCCAAATGGGCCGAAAGTAAGTAGCAATTAAGGACCTGCTCTGTTTTTCAGAAAATATTCTGATCTGAGTTATGTAACATCTGGTGTTTTCAGAATCTTTAGGGTCTGGTCTGAATGTTTTTGGATTGAATTTTTCTAGACTGCCTTGCTCTAAATCCTTCTAATACAAAATTTTCTGATGTTTTATACCTAGTCCAGTTTTCTTGTCTGAAATATAAGATGTGAAGTGAATAGTCTGAATGCTTTTTGGTCTTGTCTTTTTCTTCTGGTAAAAATAACAATAAAAACAAGTAAAAAACAGAAAATATTGGGAAAGAGAACAACACGTTTTTTCCTCTGTATGATCCATTGATTAACAGCTTGGCTATGTTGGTGACAGATGGGTAGTGGAGAATCAAATTGGGAAGAAAGATTTAGTCATTGATGACTGTGATGCAAAGCAGTCTGTATATATCTTTGGTTGTAAAGATTCTGTTTTGCAGATCCAGGGTAACTTCTGCTTCATGTGGTTATAATAATTTTCTTATTTGCCCTTTACTTCGCGTCATGATAAACTACCCAAGTAACATAATGAGCTTTCTTGATTATACTTTTTCAGGAAAAGTGAACAACATTACCATTGATAAATGCACCAAGACAGGAGTTGTATTCTCGGTTAGTGGAGACTTCTTTTTAGCATAGATTCCATTTGGATGGGTAAAAATCAACAACCAAGCTAATTTATGACATCAAACTTGGTGAACAGGATGTTGTGGCAGCTTTTGAGATTGTTAATTGCAATGGCGTAGAGGTGCAATGCCAGGTAATTTTTTTGTTCTTTATTTTTTAAATATTTAAATTCAAATGGAGCTTTGTCCTTCTCATTATCGGGATTGCATTTTTGGTATAGGGTGTAGCCCCAACAATTTCAGTGGATAATACAGCAGGTTGCCAGTTATACCTGAGCAAGGATTCTTTGGAAGCTTCTATCACAACAGCCAAGTGCAGCGAGATCAACATTATGGTTCCTAGTGCTGGACCTGATTCTGATTGGGTATGCATATTGTTGCTATTGATCTATTATGGTCTTTTCTTGTGTAAACAATGTTAAACAACACCCCTAGACCACATAGTATTTAACTTGACATCGGTTCCGCTTGTACCTTTGTTATCCAAACTGCATGAAGTATAATAAGTTCATTTAGAAGGTCTCTAGTGAGACTGTCTCACGGTTAGACGGACATAGCTCTTATTCAAAAGTAATCTATTTGAGCATAAGTAATTGTTTTCTAAAACAAAAGTAATATTTCTATCGATGGTTGGAAGTATTACTTCGTCCATAAAAGAAAGAGTGATGTTTCTTCAAGGTATTATTTCTAAGTTTTGGTAAGGTATAACTCTTGAAAATCATCACAACTAATCTTTTTAAATTTAATTGAAACTTTGAACTAAATTTAACATACTTTACTCATATGGAACACTTTCTTTAAAAAACTACATTGAATTCAACAAATGTTAGCTTCTTTTGGACTCCTTTTACTTAACATTTTTTGAGATGGAAGGATTTCTTCTAACCAAAAAATATTATCGTCTTACGTCCTCACGGAAATGTTTGAGTTGGAAACATCAAGTGTTATGCTTACCACAGTTATATATTATATGATATATTGAACCTGTTGAAATTTTGTGTAGGATGAGCATGCTTTACCTCACCAGTATGTCCATGTTTACAAGGATGGCCAGTTTATAACCTCTCCAGCCACCCACTCTGGAGGTTAACATGTTAAATGGTGACAGTCCACTCATTCGATATCTTAAGCTTTTCATTTATTTTAAAACTACATTTTTGTTCCAAGTCCAATTCTTTTATCTTGCTGGGCGGTTTGTTATTTACTAGCATTATTTATGAAAAAAAGAGTTACTTGTGCCACTAATATTATTTGTACGAAAATGACAATTATATTTGTGAAATACTTACTACCACGGTACTACCTTTGAGTGAATATGAATATTTTTACCACAAGTATGTTGTTGGCTGGATGGACATGACCTCACAAGTATTTTTTGTTACAAGGGTGTACATTTTTCATATTTTTTTTATAATATCGGGGTTTATGAATTTCCTCAAAATAATTCAAGAATGTTTCATATTCATACTAAAAAAATTCATAATGAAAAAATGAAAAAAGAATGACACCACATCTCAAAGGCCCCCCAACATAGGTCGTACAGTACCTAGGAGGGGTACAGTTAATCAGTAGGATGTAAATGAGACTTTAATCACAATAGATTGTGATGGGACCGGTTGTTGGGACTTTAATCACAACAGATAGCGATGGGACTGGTTGCTTGACATATCTGGTAGCACATCTGAGAGGCCCCCAACATAGGTTGTACAGTTAATTGGTAGGATGTAAATGAGACTTTAATCACAAGATAGTGATGGGATCGGTTGCTGGGACTTTAATCACAACAGATAGTGATGGGACTGGTTGCTCAACATATCTGGCAAGGATCATATATGTTTAGGACATCCAGTAGTTTCATGGATTCTAAATACTATCTCATCCGAGGTAAAAGCTACTCTTTCTAAATTTGATGATGCCAAACTTTGGAGAGATGTTCTATAAGAACAATTTTCACTTGTGGATGAGTTAAAAATTCATCAAGTTAAATATGATATTTCTCGAAGTGAACAATTTAAAACGCAAGTTGTTGCCGCATATTATGGAAAATTAATTCGAGAACGCAAAAATGCGCAGTTATCTTCAAGAATTAATTTGAATGTGTTCCCGATTGAAGTTTTAGCTGAAATTTGGTATGAGTAAACTAGACTTGGTGAATAAGATGCTCAAAAAATTTCATCAAAAAATTCCACCGGGAAGTCGGGAATTGCCCCAAATCGCGACGTCCGGACAGAACCTCCTATAGAAGGACTTAATTGACCTTTTTATGAAAGTTCGAGGACCTATTTGACAGTTTTCCCCATTAATATAGGCTGGTTAAAACTTAAAATGTAGAGCTTGTGGAAAATTGTCTTTCCCATCAAACTCATATGGATTAGTCGGGTCGGGTGGCCCGACCCGGAACCGGCCCGAACCGGCACTGTTCCAGCCTGGCCCGGTGGCCCGGTCAGTGATTGGTCCAGGTAGGCCCGACCCGCGTGGGTTCCGGCCCGGGCTCGGGCCCCCCAAATCATGAACCGGTCCGGCCGGTCCGGGCCTGGTTCCAGGCCTTTTTAATTTTTTTTTTCAATTTTTTTTTTTACTTTTCGGGTTGGGCTGGGTATTTTAGTCCATTTGGGGTTGTTTGGGGGGGGGGGGGGGGGGTAACTAGGGAAAGGAAAAAAAAAATTAAAAAAGGCCCGAGGCCCGGCCCGAACCAGAACCGGGGATTACCCGGGCCGGTTCCGGGCCCCCCATTCCAGAACCGCCGCCCGGGCCCGAACCGGCCCGAGTCCAGGCCTGATTATGGATCAACCTTATTTTAGTTACTACATCTTATTAATCAATCCTGCGTGTGAAAAGAGTGTTATGTAAACAAAATGGGTGATAAAACTGAAAAATATTCTGATGGTTAAACAGCCATACAAATTAGCATGCTATTGGAAAGGCCTAAGGACTAAGGAGCTCCTTTACGTACGAAATGTAAGAATGATTTTGGATATGTTTGGCAATTGACACAACTAGCTAAAAAGATACTTTTACGAACTTTTTAGGCATGTTTTTAACTTGCCCTGCCTCGGCCACCGGTAAGAAGTGTTGGGTGTTGCGCATGACCAAACATTACTTAATCTGGAAATTAACTTTCAAATTAAAAAAGTTTTTCAAGTGAAAAATATGCCTAACAAGTGCCATTATTTGACAAAAATAATGAACTCTGGTCAGTCTGGTGTACGCTTACTAGGCTACTAGCTAGTTGGTATTTTTAATTTGTTTAACGATTTTGTCAAACTACTTTCTCATCAGTGACTAAGGTTTTGTTTGCAAACACAAAAAAAGCACTTCCCAATTTTTGGTTTAAAAAAACTAAAAAAAGTGTTTTCAAGTGATAACTTCTATTTAAATTAATACTTAAAAAGTTAAAAGTTAGATTCTGCTTTTTACTTTTAAAAAGTTAAAAGTCATTTACTTTTAAAAAGTTAAAAGCACTTTGGAATAGTGTTTGCAAACAAATCTAAAGTTATTTACTGTATACAAATAACAAACAATACAAATGAATCTTTTCCCATTATAAGCTTGAAAGTGTGCCATGAATTCAATCAATTCAAACAATAATTACAGATGTAGTCATGTTGAAGGATTCACACGTACAAGTCATCATCTCAACAATCATAGTCACCATTCCTGACTCAAATCACCCATCAGGGGCGGCTTGAGCACTTTAGAGGCCCAAGGCAAAAACTCAATCAATATTAACAAATTATATCAATGTATTTTCTATAATAATAATAGTCATTAAAAATGAAAAAAACAAATATTTCTACTCATTCAAATCAACAAACATTAAGTGGTCACTATGATTAATATTCTTGTTTTAATCATTATTCTCATTCTATTAAAGAATGTTAGTTTATCATTGCCAATAACTGGTGAGCGATTTTATACTCAAATCTCTTCTCAAATTTCTCCCCTCTTTTCTTTTTATATACCATAAACCTTTCGTTTACCTGTCATGACAATACCTAACACGGAGTTGGTATATACTACGTATATATTATAAAATCACAAACAAATGAGTCAACGGAGAACCTATAGTTTAATTTACAAATAAAATTATTAATAACAATCTCATAAATAAATAAAATATATACATTTCTACTAGTCTACTACCATCAAATTAAATTAAGTAAAAATTACTTCAAAATTATAATAGCTACAAACAAAAGTATATTTATAATTTATAGAATATCAATATAAAAATTACGTAAATTACCAACCTGAAGCAATATCTCAATATTAACTCAATAAGCTTTAATAATTAGTCCTACCACAAATCCTTGTTCCTTATTCCCGCTCAACTTCATTGAGTCAGTGCGCACTAGGATTTGGGAATATGAATGTAATAGATATTTCGGTGTTCAAGGTTTACTTTTGGGACTTAGGAGAATGGAATTGCTAGATCTTCCAATTTCTAATTCTAATTATTGATAATACTACTCCCTCCGTCCCCTTAAGTTTGTCCCGTTTTACCTTTTTCGTCCGTCCCACTAAGTTTGTCCCATACCATATTTAGTAACATTTGAGTGGTTAAAATTCATTCTTACTTTATTTACACTTTATCAATTCAATACCGACCACACAATTCCACTTTTTCTTAAAAACCACACCACACCCCTCCGTCCCAAACTTAGGGGGACGGAGGGAGTACTATTTTTATTTTTTGAGGCCCTTAGAAATGTGAGGCCCTAGGCACAAGCCTGGCCTAACTAGGGCTATAGCCGGCTCTGTCACCCATCACTTTTGACAAATAAAGCTTATTTACACATGAAAGCATGAAAGTGCATTTCCAATGGTTGTACATTGGCGCTGAGATGGCAAAGTTATGAGCACGGTGTATTCCAAATGGAAAATGCTATGTGTACACGCCGGTTTACACGGCGGTGTACACATCTTAAAAAGCCCCACTCCCTCTTTCTAATCCACCCCACTTTTGAATTAATCCTCCCCACTTCCCTCCCACTCCCCTCTTTCCTCTCCCTCCCTGCGCCCAAATTCCCTCTCCTTCTCTTCCTCTTTTCTTTTTTCTTTTCTCTCCCTCCCTGCACCCAACTTCCTTCTCCCTCTTTTCCTCTTTTCTTTTTTCTTTTCTCCCCCTCCCTGCACCCAACATTCTTCAGTCTCTTTTCCTCTTTCCTTCTCCCTCGTAAATAACTCCTCTCCCTTTCTCCATCTTTTTTCTTTTCTTGTTTTCTTCATTTCAAAAGCTCTCACTTTTTTTGCAGATCTGAATCCGTACAGAAAAACAAGAGGAGTCACAATTGAATCTACTTTGCTCTCTTAAATATTATTCATGAGGTAATACTTTATTTCATTTTTTTTTTGCATTTAGGGTTATAATTTTTCCTTTTTTAATTTTATTTATACAAAATATGTTGTGGTGATGTTGATGAATGTTTATTACAATATAATATTAGTATGGATTTGTTATAAATTAAAATTTTATTCAACCATTATAGCTCACTTTTATGCCTATTAAGTGTTTGTTGAAATGTTTCAATGAGATGTAACTAAGTATAATTGATTTTTAGCTTTAGTTGTCTTTATGGTTTTCCTGAGACGTCTGTGTAGTGTGTTGTTATATGTCTGTACATTTTTTAGTTGTCTGTGCGTTTTACCTGAGACGTCTGTGTAGTTTGTTGTTATACGTTTGTGGATTTTATAGTTGTCTTTATGGTTTTCCTGAGACGTCTGTGTAGTGTGTTGTTATATGTTTATGCATTTTTTAGTTGTCTGTGCATTTTACCTGAGACGTCTGTGTAGTTTGTTGTTATACGTTTGTGGATTTTATAGTTGTCTTTATGGTTTTCCTGAGACGTTTGTGTAGTGTGTTGTTATATGTTTATGCATTTTTTAGTTGTCTGTTCATTTTACCTGGGACGTCTGTGTAGTTTGTTGTTATACGTTTGTGGATTTTATAGTTGTCTTTATGGTTTTCCTGAGACGTCTGTGTAGTGTGTTGTTATATGTTTATGCATTTTTTAGTTGTCTGTTCGTTTTACCTGAGACGTCTGTGTAGTTTGTTGTTATACGTTTGTGCTTTTTTGAAGTGTCTACACAGACAAAATTTTTGAACGTTTTTGCAAATATGTTGTAAAATGTATGCAAATGAATGCAATTGGGCCTGTTCTTGTGCACGTTCTTTAGGCTTATATAACTTTAAATATAGCGTTATTATGTTTTTAGGCGGCACATATAAGCCTAAATGGATGCACATTCGAAAGATGAGACAGAGATCCAAGTAGATTTACGTCTTTGACCTCGTATCATCTGCATCTTACGTTAATCTCTGTTGCTTCTCTGTTTTCCTTCACAATGTTACGCCTGTTTTGTAGGACTATTGACGTTCCAATTGTCGACTATATAATGAAATCACACTTTGGTGTTTA